TCATAAGTTATTAAGTAGCTGCAGAGTTTTGGGGTACTTTTTCCCCTTAGCATAATGATTAATTGAAGTTTTAATTCAGATTAAGAAGATACTTTTCCAATTTTGTCTGGAGTACTGTCTTTTTTCCCTAGAAATAAAAATTATCTAGTTAAGAATATATAAAGGGGATTAAAGAAGGAAGGTGACGTTACTGTTTGTATTACATGCCTTCCCATCACTGAGACACAATACCCAGTACCTCCAACTTAGAGAGGATGTTTATTTTGACTCATAGTTTAGTACAATATTGTTGAAATGCTCCTCCTACTACTAAAACTGATATGCAGGTGTAATTCAATCCCAGTCTAAATACCAATTGCATTCCTCATAGATCTAGAGAAAACAACCCTAAAATTTATATGGAAGCAGAAAAGACTTAGATTAGCAAATGCAATCATAGAATAGCAAAAGCAGGAGGCAAAACAATTCCAGATTTTAAACTATATTACAAAGCTACAGTGATTAAAACACCTTGGTACTGGCAGTAACAGACAGATGGATCAATAAAGAGAACAGAGGATGCAGAAACAACCCTAGTCATATTCAGCTATCTGATCTGTGACAAAGGGACCAAAAACATATGTTGGAGGAAAGATAGCTTCTTTAGCAAATGATGCTGAAGCAAGTGGCTATTCAAATGGAGAAGACTGAATCTAGACCCATATCTCTAGACCATGTATTAAACTCAAAGAATAATGGACCAAAGATTTAAATGTTAAAATGAAAACATTTCCTGGAAGATATAATAGATAAAACCCTTGAAGACAAAGGTATAGGCAGGGACTTTGTGAACAGAACCTGAATTGCACAAGAAATAAAACCAAGAATCAAAAAATAATATCAGGTCAAATTAAAAAGTTTCTGCTTCACAAAGGAAACCACCAAGAGAGTGAACCACCTACATGATGAGAAAAATTTTGCCAGCTACACCTTGCACAAAGTATTAATATCTGAAATATATAAAGAAATCAAAAAGTAGACTCCTAAAGTAAAAGACTCAACCAAAAAATTAGCAAGTGAAATGAATAGACACTTCTCAGAGAGAGGTATAAATGGTCAATGAATACATAAAATGTTCAACATCTCTGGCCATTAGAGAAATGCTCATTAAAACAATACTAGACTTGAACTTTTGATCCTATAGACTCAGCCTGAGTGCTGGTTTTACTGGCTTAGCTCATGTCTTTATTTTTTGACAGGAGATTAAATGATGTCTTGGTTTTTCAGTATTCTGAGGTTTTTATCTAAAGTTCTTGAAAAGTATAGGAAAGTGCATAGATGCACATATTATCACTTGCACCTATGCGTACCACTCAATATAGGCTCTTAAGATGTCCTTTTGAGGAAATGGCCATAGCAACCCGAGAGATGAGTCTAGTTCTCATTTCTCAGTCTAAAGAACTATGATGGAAAGAAAAGACTCCTCTGCTCAAAGGAAAAGATACAGTGTAGCAATGCATTTTTCTCATAATCTCTTTGTGGCAAAGACTAGCAGCAGGCACACCAAACCCTTTTCATTTTCTTCCTATTTCTAACTATACTACAATACATTTTTGAGTCTTCTTAGCAGTGAAGGAGGTGGTTAGAAGACTAAACTATGATCTGTGGTATGGAAGAAAGGGATATATTCCATTTTCACGTCAGACAAATCAGACCCATTTAATTGTTTCTATTCTTTCAGCTGTGTGCAGAGGATTATGATGCCTGAGATAATGGTACAGCCCAGGACCCTAAATTACTGTACAATCCAGAAACTCTCTCTGAATTCCCTACCCTGACTTTGTTGGAATATGGCATGAGTAAGAATTTGTTTTCTTCTGTTAAGAAATTGATTTTCTGTGTTGTAATTGAGCCGATTTCTAGATAACTTTGAACATTTCTCAGCTACAAGCAATGCCAACCAATGTTTCAAAGTGGCAACAGCTGATCCAGCTTTTCCCAGATGCCTGTAGTTTGGGCACCATAGTTATTTGCTTACTAGAGATGTTCTGTACTTTATCCCGTACTTGTACTGACCAATATATTAGTACCCAGGAGATCTTTTGAAGGATAGTCTTTTAGTGTCATAAAATCAACAGATATGATTCAACAAGCTCTTGTAGAAAATCGGCTCACTGGATGCTCGGTTCCCAGTCTCCCAGGAGCATCCGCCTGTGAGTTCTCTGTTAAGCTGCAATCAGGGGGAATGGATGCTGGACTAAGGCCAGAGCAAGCTGGAATGAGCAAATTACAGTCTTGTGGGAGTTTGAAAGCAAGCACTCATCACTACTGATGCAAATATTCTTGTAACACACTTTTTGTTTGTGTTTAAAATATTTTTAGTTAAAATTAATACATTTGTTTCTTGCCTTGGTGACAGGTAGCGAGGATGGTAATGATCACTTCCTGTATAAACAGAAGAAGAAAAATGAACATGCATAGTCTGGAGTGGGTGGTGAGGAGGTGAAAGATGATTTGGACAAGAGGCTCTGCATCATGAGTTATCCAAGAGGACAAAATTTGTATATTTGGAAAGTCACAGCTTTAAGGGCTGGGTGTGTGATGGAAGGAAGGAGAGTGCTCATGCAAGCATCCTTGGCTCCATTCAGAGTTTCAGATTTTATTTGGGGTCTCTTCCCCTTTTATTACATGGGGAATGGGGAGATACAGTGCCCACCTTTAATGCTTAAGTACAGATAAGCTATCTCTTTCTTAGTTGAAACAGACGGCAATCTTCAAAAGATGTCCACAAATCCTGAGAAGAGAAAAGGGAACCCAGGGAGCACATAAAACTTCAAATGGCCAATTCACAGGTTGCAAGATTCTGCTATTTTGAAGGATTAGTGTTTAGGAAATTGGTTTGCATTCCCTGCCTCCAAGATAGAGCTTCATCTCTCCGATAGGGTTCCCCCTCCCCCCTTATCTTCTTTTATCTTTTTTTTTTTTTTGTATCAAGGATTGAACCCATGGCATTCACACTAACATACATTTCCAGGCCTTTCTAAATTTTTATTTTGAAACAGGATCTTGCTAAGTTACTTAAGCTGTGCTCAAACTTGTCATCTTCCTGCCTCACCACCACAGAAGGACAGAGTGCTGGGATTGCAGGCCTATGCCACCACGGTGAACTATAAATTCCTTCTTAGGGAATCTTTGCTGAAGAGGTATCTTACAGAAAAGGCAGAGGCCTTGCCTTTCTCAGCCAGAACCGGAAAAAGTTAAATTTTCTTTACTTCTAAATCAGGGTTATCTCTGTCAATTTTCTTCTGAGTCCAATAGATATCTGCACTTCTCCAGTCACAAGATTTACTTTTCACTTCAAGTTACACTCCACCCAATGTATGTAGAAAATAAAGTAACTTTTCTTTTTGGTCTAACAACAACTTTATATTACTTTGAGGATATAGGTGCAAAAGGATATAAAATTAAGGTAAATCCTCATCTACCATGCTAGACTTTAAATTTTTCTCCCGAAAATTAGCAACTGTCAGCATTTTCTTAGATTTTTTTCATTGAACTACTGCTCTTCTAAAAGTCTGCTACATGTTAGGCATGGTCTGCTCTGACCTTCAGGGTATCCTGCTGGGTTCTGAACCATCTCTACCATACCCATCCTGGCCCAAAGCGTTATTATATCTCTTGATGACTCTTACTTTAACCTTTAACTAGCCTCCTTGCTTCTTCCCTTTACTCATTTACCATTTTCTTAAAAAAACAATTAGACTAAGACTGCTAAAATGTACCCTAAGATTATGTTATGTCTATGCCTAAAGCTTTTTGATGACATTTTGATGTCATGACATCTTTACTACACTTGGATCTTAGCCAAAAGCCGAGAAGCAATTGTCATGACATCTTTACAGCAGACTACAAGGTTCTATATAAAGGACACTTCTGCAGTCCCTTTGTCATAATTTCCTCCTGCTTTTTCTCTCACCTGTGGAATTCTGGCCACATTCTCTTTCTTACTACACCTTGGAACACAAGCTATACCACAGGGCTTTGCCTGAGATCCTCTTCTCTCAGAATTCCATAATGATCTACTCTTGTGCAACTTAAAACCACAATCTATCTCCAGATATTTTACTCTTCCTTCATCTATTTTTCTTTAGTGAGGAACACAGCCCAGCTGACACCTCACTTTTGATCTTGAGATACCTTAAGTAGAAGGCAAAGCTAAGCTCATTTTGAATTCTGACTCACACACATGGTGAAACTATAAATTTATGACATTTTCAGATTTTGTTTGTAGTCATTTGTTATGTTGTGATGGAAAACAAATATAACTCATTTAACCAGTGTTTCCCAAATGTAGCAGAACCTTTTAACAATCAACAAACACTCCTTACATTCCAAGAAAATATGTTTGGAATTCAGTTGGAGCAAATAAGAAAGTTCAGTTTCTAGGAGACCCATAATGCAGGAATGTTAAGATGTCTTAACACATACATTTACTTTCATGGAGCTGTGCAAACTCATGACCTATGTATTCATTTAATTCACTCTTTTAATACTTCTCCATTTTAAGAAATTATTGGTTCATAAGAAGTTGCATCATGAGTACAAGATGATTCTTCACCCAGTGGTATCATCTTCATAATATAGTACAATGGCAAAACCAGAAAACTTACATCGGTACCCTCACAGAATTTACTTAGATTTCACCAGTTTACGTGTACTTGTGTGTGTCTGGTATGGGGTTAATATTCATAATATGTAACGAACTTGTACAACCCAATAGCACAAACAACACAAAATAGCACCCAGTTGGAAAAGGATTTGGATTAACTCTTTTCCAAACAAAAGAGTCAAAAGGCCAACAGGTATATCAAATAGTGCCCAACACCATTGGTCGTCAGTGATTCCTGGTTACTGATCATCATGAAGCTTACTTTGCTGTTACAGAAAAAGCAGTCTTGAGTTTCTCAAACATCTTCAATAAAGATTTTGCACAAATTCATAATTTTGTATTGTTGTGACAGGTTTCATGATCAAATCTTGGAACCCTCAGCGTAGCTGATGCTCCCTGACTGATGATCAACAGCAACACATCGTAAGTAGAGAAAAATAGACTTTCATTACTAGCATTCCTTGGAAACTCTGGATGCACCTCAGGAAGGCGAAATTAGGAGCGGCCCTTTTGTAGGATATGGGCATGTTTTGGATGATTTCTAGTGAGGAAATAGGGAAAAAATTCTGTGTTGAATTTTTCAATTTTGTGAGGGAATATCTTAATAACATTTTATCTGACATATATATGCTCTTCAACTTCTGATGAAGCTACTTCCAAGTAAGCCCATCACAAATTGAAAATATCCTAAATAACAAGTACATTTACAGGTCTCTCTTCCTGAGAGTCAGAGCTTAGTAACCTAGTACATCATAGTGTATAGATTGCTTTTCCTCATGCTTAGGTGGCTGGCTTTCTGATAAAGTGGCTTTCTGATAAAGCTTCATATTATGAGAGACTGTTGTATTAAATATTGCCTATTTGAGCAAATATAAAGATGTTTAAAAGTAAAGTTTCTAATGAATATCACCTTCACATTATGGAAAAAAATTCTCCCAACTATCCCAGCTCGGGAACCATCCATATTAGTCAGCTTTGGTTTCCAAAATGAAATGTCATACATTTTAAATTGTTTGAACAATACAAATTTATTTCACACAGTTCTAGAGGCTGAAAATCTGAGAGCAAGGTGGCAGCATGGCTGGGTTCTGCTTTGCTTGCAGGTGACTGCATTCTTGAGAGAAACAGGCTTTGGCGACTTTTCTTAGAGGTGCACTAATGCCATTAGGAGAACCCTATCCTCCTGACTGCCCACTGCCTCTATACTTAATTTCCTTCTAAAGATTCTGTCTCTAAATGCCTTTGCCTCTTGCATTGAGGGGGTCAACGTGTGCATTTTTAGAGGACCCAATTTAGTCGTAGCATATAGGTAGGAAGATTAAAATGCATTGGAGCAGTCATGGAAAGATGCAGCAATCACATAAGTACTGGGCTGTCATTCAGGAGAGGAGATGAGTTATGTTTGTGGTCGCCATTGACAAAGCCTTGCTCTACATTCCCTCGGGAATTAGCTTTGTCTATGTCTTATCCTGAAATTGTTTATGGTTTTCTGGGTGGGATGAAAAAAAAAGCCTCTATTTCTTATCTTAGAAATATCTCTTTTGCTGGCTACATTCTTAAATTGCCTTCTTTTTGTGTTTTTGATGAGTGCAGGGAGTAATTTATTATTTCATTGATTGCAAGTTGATAATGCTTTGTTTTTTCTAAGTTGACTTTTACCCTACCCCAGATTTTATGAAAAAAATAGAAAACATGGATAAGCTTCAGAGTTTCATCTTGCAGAAACAAACTACATTCTCATGTTTGTTTCCCTTCTGCCTTTTTAGTCTAAAGACTGTCACACTTTTTTTTTCATAGTTTGGGTGTTCAAGTATATACAATATGTTTCAGAAGCTTTGACAAATAGTTTCAAAAGTTTATAATCTAAGAGCATACGGAGTTCTGATCATAGAAAGCCAATGAGCCACTAAAGTTGCTTGCACTTTAGTTTGTTCATCTGAAAATACAAAAAAAAAAACAAAACAAAAACAAACCACCATTGCTGTATTATCCAAAGAGTTATTATATGATTATGTTAGTGCATAAATATGCTTGGAACACAGTTGCATGCTATACTTTTAAAAGGGAATATAATTCCTGTTATAGAGATTGGAATAGAAAGACAGGAAGAGTCTAATTTGTGAGTTGATCAAGGCAGAATAATAAATGGCATTAAGTCTGTCTTTCCAAGTAATTGCTCCAAATTCTCCATTTCTTCACCCTGGGAGGCAGGCAGGCAGGCTATTTGTCAGCTTAATAAAGCTGTCCTCCCTTTCAGCCTTAAAGAATAAATTTTTCCAGCCTTGTGTGAATGGATGGCCCTCTCTGTGCTAGAGGGTTCATGTCCAGCCTGTTGAGGGTGAACATGCATCTTTTCCAGCAGCTCTGCTAATGGGTTTCTAAGTGCAGGCTGAGTGTGCCAAAGAAAAGACACAGAATGAAACAAGGAGGGGCCTATCTCAAATGGACAGATAGTTTGTAACTGGAAAAAGTATTGTAAAAGTCTCACAGGACAGCTTCAGAAACCTTAGTAATTTGTTCAGTGGACACAAAAAAGAGTGAGCTGGATATATTGTATTTTATGTGTCTTGCTATTTGCAGTGTAAATCACAGATCTTGAAACATCAGTAATTGCTTATTAAAATGAATAAGTGATGAAATAGTGAATAAATGAATAAATGTGTAAATGACACCTAGAAGACAGCTTGCAGAAGTGAAGAGACTCACCACGTATTAAATGGCAGTGACATGCAGCCACTATGGAAAAATGAATTGTTCAAAACATTTCAGGGGTGTCAGCATTCTATGGATGAACAATTGAGGTTACTTCCTACTCTTCACAGGCATGTGGAGATAGATCTTATGGGAAAGGATTTTACCAACTATGCAGTGGGGAATTAGTGGTGCTACTTGAGCCATAATAAACTTAAAGCACAGACATAATCAACAGAAATGTTGGAAATAGATTATGATTGATTGGCTCTCATCTAATGTCTATCATGTGCCAACTACGAGACTAGATACTTCAGTTTTGCATTACAGTTTTGCCACTTTGTGACCATGGATAAATAACCCAATCTTTTGGACAAGCCACTGTTGGTTAAAATGTTAAAGTGACACAGACAATTCCATACAATGTCTTATTTAATTGCTAAGACATTGTCATCCAATAGGAACAGTTATAATCTCTTATAGATAAGGAGCTTGAGTGATCAGGCAATAAGCTGAAGGTTTCACAGTTTAGTATGAGGTGAGGTGAATTTTGAATTATAATCTGTATCTTCAAAACTTTACGATTCTTATTTTTTAATTAGTGTGTATTTGTAGCATATAAAGTTTGTATTCCTTGTGAGGGATTGGTAGATGTACATAGTATATCATAATTCATTTTTTATACCCTTTCCCTTCCCTCCCTCTCTCTTTTTCTCTCCTTTCCATGCATCTCTTCAGTCCCTTCTTTTTTATCTGTTTGCAATAAAAGATAGATGACAGAAAGTAGGAAGGAAGACCTTTGTAAAAGGAGAAAGGGGTCAAAATTTTATTCTTAATTATTATACAGCTCAACCTCACTACAAAATATAATAACCACCATCCAAATGCATATGAAGTTCTGAGCACAGGGCTTGACTCTTCATAGATTGGCCCAGATTATGAGAACACAGCTGTCTAAGCCATTGAACAGAGAATTGGTTGGTAGGTCAGAGAAGTAAGTGTTTGAATGTTGCTCAAAATGTAGAAATTAAATTCAAGTCTCTGTCCAAAGCTTTCTCAGTGTTTCCAAAATGTGCTTTTGAAGCCCTATGAGTTCCACAGGTAACTTCTACGCAGGCCCCTGCTTGAGATCTGCTCTAGAGGAGGGACCTACCAGCCACTGGGGGATCACTGGGCATTTATTTGGCTGGAGGATAATCAATCTGGATATATTATGACATGACTCACGATGAGTGGAAAAATTGAAAGAAGGGCATTGATGATTTACTTGGCTATTCTGTATTTTATTCGGAGTCTCAAAGAGAAAATGTGGGACAAACCAGCCAGTAAGTAGATGAATAATAAAAAGAGCCACAAGAAAGTACAGAACAAGAGCATGGTGGAAAGGCATTAAAGGCATTGCAGTAGAAGTAAGACTCACAAATTTCTTCTAACAAGGAAGCCAGAAAGCTGTCTGTCCTGGAGATACTTGCCCTCCTGTCTCTTTACAACAAATGTTTATTTACTGAGATAATTCTATGAGTTCCGGTCTTTGCAATTAAGAGTCAAAGTTATATCCACGGTAAAAGAGTATCTAAATTAAGCCCCATAACAGAATTAGGAGAGATTTTTACTTTGTTGTTGAAAGAGAAGTAGGAAAGCTATAGACATGATGAAATATTTTCTTTGTCACAACATTGATAAAACTGGGAGGTAGGGGCTGAGGAACTGGTTGGAGGACAGCTTCCCTTGAAAAGTTACCTAGACCTGGTATGGGAGAAATGATACTATAGTCTGAAACCGGCGATATGAGGATTGTCTTTATTGTAGTATATTTTGTTATATAATATTTACATAATTAGTTAAGATTCTTTAGTTGCTGTAAGCAACAGGAGTGCATATTTTAAAGCACAATATAAATAGGTTAGAAGAGTATGAAGTATTGAGCAGAATCACAGAAAAGCCAAAGACTCAGTCTTCTGAAAGATGATCCAGGCTAGTCTTGATGATCAAAGCAGAAACAAAGGAACAGTAAGAGTCAACCTAGAGTTGTGCCTGTTTTCTGTGGTCAATATTCCAGGTTTTCAGGGAAAAACACCACATTTGTTCATTACAGGGTCATCTATCCACTCTTTGGCCAAAGAAGACACTGTTATATTGATATATGGTTTTAGTAAAATGGTATACAGTGTGGAGATAATTCCCTAAGGGAAATCAAGAAGTGTCTAAAAAACAAATAAACAGGCAAAACACAAAAGCAGAAACAAAACTACAGAGAGAAAATAGCAATGAACATCAAACCATTTCTTTTTCACTCTGCGCTGCTGCTTTTGTTTCCCAGTCTTGATTCTGTCTTCATCGTCTAGACTAGTAGCTGCTTTCCTGACCTTGGATCCTTGAACTTTCTTTGACTCTCCTTGGATCTACCTCAGCTGTCAACACCTGGGGTATAAATGGTGAAACCCATTATATAATCACTTGCGTGTCTCTTACTCTAGCCAGTGCCCTTCACTTTCCTCTTACAGGTGAAAGGAATATGAATTGTTGAAAATTGAATAACTCTATTTACAGTGGACCCCAGAAATTCAAGGCAGTTACCTTCCTAGAGTACCTGTGAATTGTGAAAAACCTCAAATTACAGATAAGGTCAGAAAAATGCTTACTAATGCCTATTTTTATAGTTTAAAACCTGAATATACTATGCCTCCCACAGTTATGAAATTTAATTTAATAAAACAATGTATTAATAAA